GAACAACACCCACCCAGCCCCTTGCTCCTGCTTTAATAGCCATTGGTATGACGATCTGCATTCATATCCACTCTCACTGGCTCAGAGTGGTGCCCTTTAAATGTCACTGAGTCAATTCAGTAGTGGCCTTGGGTACCCAACTGGATTTTATGTGGTGGGGGCTCACTGCAGGCCACTCCTTTGTGCCCATGGGAAGAGAAGAGGTCACTTGCAGAAAGATCTTCCCTCCTCCCCAAAACACACATCCAATCCACCGCCCATCCTGAGGCCCTAGCGCCCCTGTACTCCATAGGAGGGGGACTGAGCTACTCTGGTGTGTAGGGCTCCACCAGCAGCCTTCTAAAATAACCCAAGCACAGAAGGCCTGGAATGTATCTGGGCTTATATTTGGAACTGCCGTTGGAAACAGTCCTGGCCAAATGTAACACCCATCTGTTCAGGATGGTTTGGAGTAAGAAAATGAGGTGGTTCAGCAGGAGGGGGCTGGGCAGCTCTGAAATTCAGGACTGGGGAGTGTCAGGTCCTCTAGCCCTCACCCTGTCCTGGAGCCCTCATGCCCTACAGCCAAGGCTATTCTAGTCACTGGGGTCATTTCCCTGACTAGAAAATTTTTCCCTTTTATGAAACTGGTCTTTCAGTTGGTCTTTCTTTCTGGGTCTTCTACCCATTGGTCAGTACTTTAGGTCTGCCAGAGAGGTCTGCTTCCTCCTGAGCCTTTGCTCGTCCAAGGAGATCTCCCCCCTCACCATTTGGCACCCAGCACTGAAGCCTCATAAAAATGGGTTGTGATTCACAGAAGTGGGTTGTGCGTTCACTACAATGCACTGTAAGTGGATGGAAATCTACAGTCTCACCTGGGAGGGGAGTGCTTTTGCCTGACTGGAACACTGGACATGTCCCAGTCTTCCCCCTGGGATTACTTCTTGACCTCTGAAGAACTGTGTGAAATTAGTAGATTTTTTCACGAGATTATTTTATAATTTTTAAATTTTAGTATAAATAGATATTAATAAAGAAAATAGAAGTAGTCTTCTATGAAAAAATAAAACAAAATTTCATGACAAAATAATTAGGCAATCGCAATAGTTAATATACTGTGGATTATGATCTTGAAAGAACGGCCAAAATGTTACTCAGAGTATAAGTCATAGATAAGAAATGACTCTTAGGAAGGAGAAATAAATAAAAGGACAGAACTTTCTTTTCAGTGAACAAAAACAAACTACTAGTACAAATGAAACAAATTAGCATATATCTTAGGATATTTTTGAAACAATAGATAATTTGGGAAATTACTTGAACTCCTTACTTTATGTTTATCTTCTATTTTGCTTTTTATCGTGAAGTTATTTTGTATCTAAAATCAAGGCAGGCTTCAGTCCTCTTGTTCTATTGATGAGCCAAGTGTCCAAAAGAAATGTTATACCACAAGGGGAATAAATCTCAGTATATGGGTTTTTACAAAGGAATTTATGTGTTAGGAATCTAGTTCCATTGAATGATTGGGATAGTTCTGTGTGTATCCTTAGTAAGAATGCTGGGCTTTGGGCTTGTTAAATGTAGGCTTCATCAACAGTTTCAGAAGCATCGGATAATTTTCATTGATGTATTTGGTTTGGGCCACACTGTTGCTAGGACTAATTGGGAATATGTGAGCTGGGAAGGACACCCATCAGACACATTGTCACATGGGAACCCTCAACTCATGCAGCTGGACCACATGCCAACGCCCATGCAAATCTGACAGGCATTTATCCGTCAGCCCTTAGGTCCTTTTATGAGTGGCCCGCAGTGACAGCCATGTTTCAGTCTTGGTGCATGTTCTTTCAAGCAGGAAAATAGCACAGCTGATGCTGGGGCACCAGTAGTTGGTTCATAACACGGGATGTATTCGCATGTGTCTAATTTTCTTACTGGTCACTTCGCACTTTAGTGACTCATTTTAAGGCAAGTCCTTTTGGAGAATTTGACTTACCAAGATGAGGTCAACAAGAGAATCTGTTCTGGCATATGTGTAGATTCAGGCAACCTGTTGACTCCTCCCAAAAGATCTCAAGATGTCTGTGGTGGATTGACAACTGGTGGTCAATTTGTAACACCCAGCTGAACTGAACCAGCGTGGTGCTGGCTGTGGGAAGCCTACTTGAGGATTGTTGCTGGCAGCGTAAGAGGGAGAACTGGAGAGGCTGTCGAAAGGCTGTAGGAGCTATAGGTTCTCCTGGAAGACCTTGTCATGCTGGCTTTCCTGATGAACTCAGCTGTTCTCATCATCAAAGGACCCTGGTGTCACTGGGAATGACTACAGTTCATTTTGGGGGAACTTCAGTCCTTGCTTTGAACATTGCTTCCTGGCTCTGGAGGGGAAGATGCTGCACTGCTCAGTCTCCTGGAGAAGCTTGTTGTGATGGCTTTCCTGGTAGGAGCTCGGCTGTTCTCATCATTGGAGGAGCTTGGGACCTCACTGTTGCTGAACTCTGGTTCTTACTTCAAGTGTTGCTTCCTGGCTGCAGTGCTGATCCCTCAGCCTGGTAGCACAGATCCTTCATCCCACTGGCACAGGCTTTCCAGCTTTCACCACTGACCTTTGGCCCTTCCCAGTGCAGATCCTTGAAGCAGGCCTGCATGAGACATTGTCATGGGCTCTAGGCCTCCAGTTGGACTCATGGGAGGGCATTGTTGTGGGCTCTGGGTCTTCAGATGGACTCATACAGGACATTGCTGTGGGATCCAGGCCCTCAGCTGGATTCTTTGGTCTTTAGTGTGTGGACAGATTTCCTGCACTCTCTTTGTGTATGACTTTTTAGGTGACTGTTATAAAATAATCTTATAAAATATGTGTCCTATATTGTATTGTTCCCCCTTGTAAAATCCCAAACTACAACAATGTCTAAGAGACATCTTGGGCACAGGCTGAGGATGAATTCTCAAGAGTCTTGCAGAAGGTACTCAGCTGGCTGGTGCTCCAGAGGTAAGATCTGCTTTGATCCCTAAAAAAGGACATGTGAGGAGTTGTGATGTAACTAGAAACAAGGGTGGTGGAGGAAGGACCCTGCCGTTCACCCAGCAAGGGGACCACGGCTTCTACAGAGGTGTGTGTGGCAGAGTCCCAGGTGGATATACCTGGTGTGATTGTCAGTGCAGATACACCACACCAGAGCTGTGGTGTGTAATGAGAATCACAGAATTGCCTTCACTTGGCAGAGCAAAACAGGCTGCAGATGTTAGAGGAATGAGAAATATGGAACTGAGTGGAGAACATGTCTGCTTAGAGCCACGGGGTCATATCTGGCATCAGCTTGGCTTCACCCTGGCAGGAAGTGCAGCTGGGGCTGGTGTAAGTGGGTAAAAGGCATTGGCAGAACTGTGAAGGTATGAGGAAGGGTATCAAGAAGAAAGGAGGAAGAAATATTTGGAAGAAAACCACAACAAAGGGGGGTTCATGAAGCTAAAAACAGGAAATTCTTAGCTTCTCTGCAAGTAGAAATGGAGGAGAAAAAAAGAGGAGGAAATTCACCACTCAGACATTTTATTAACAAAAAATCATCCTGGCATCTTCTAAAAGTATGAAACAGACATTATTCAGGGCCATTGCACTAGGAATAGGGAGCGCTATGATGGGAGTAGAGGAGAGAGATTGGGCTCAACTCAAAACACATGAAAAAGGATGGATCTTACATCCAGGATGCTGGGTGGGAGATTGGTGGGTGGAAAACTACTGAAGGTAAACTTCCAGGAAAAGGGAGATTCTAGCTATACCAGCCCTATAGGATTCTGGTTGAAAAGATCCAGACATCTGGGACCCAACCAGATCAAAGGGTGATCAGATCTAGATGATGGGGAATTCTGAATCAGTAGTGTCTAAAAAATTTTTAATGGTTTTCGTTTTAGGATTGAATTGGCTTTTATGAGTGAGATTCACGAACTGGGTGGCATTTTATTCTTGTAGTAGAAAGGTGTCCTGATGAGCTGAGCAGACTGGGTGGACATTATCAGAAGAGTAGAAGAACCATAAGCAGAACAAGAGGTAGACTGATTATTTCAGTTGCTGTTTTTGTACAGGTTGAAGCAGAGAGGAATTCCTTATGCTGGCTTAGGTTGACTGGACTCTGTTAACTGTTGCTGCACCTTCTATGTTATGGAAAGCCAACTTTTCTAAATTCACTTTGATTATCAGTCACTTAGGGAGAGTGACTCAGTGCTGATTTGATCTGGATTGTTGGTCCCAGTCCAAAAGCTCAGCCCCAAACACTGGCCTCCCATACATTGTCTTTAACAGCAGAATTCTTGCTAAAATGGGATGGTTAAAGGACAGATATGGATGGCCAAAGCCAAGTTTGGTCATAGAAGACCATCCGCTTCTATGGAAAACATGGTTGCATGCACACGAGTGATATTCATGTGCACAGGTCCAAGCCCAGGGGTAACACCATTGTCTGTAGGTGTTTGCATACATGTGTGTGGGTGCTTTGACACTGGGTAGTAAAGAACGTCCCTATAAGTTTAGACAGACACATTTAATACTTTTTAAAAATGTTAAGAATGTCTATGGGAAGAGCCAGGAGTTTCATGAGGATTGTAATACTGCAAGAGTGACAGGCGGTCTGTGTTTGTTCTCTCCAAGAGGAGAGAGGAAGAGAAGGTGTATAAAATTTTCATGGCTTCTCTGCTGTTGTGTGATTGTTGTAATCCGATGTTGTCGAAACAGCCTTGACTGGAGGTAACTATAATGAATTAAAATAAATACACAAAAATCAAAGCTCCTGCCTGAGGGTTGTTGGGAGCAGTGGAGACATGTCTGAGCGGGAAGGTTCTGTGGTGTGTGAGGAGCAACAGCAAAAAGGGAAGCAGGGAGGGGCCTCGTCTGCAAGAGCAGGAGAGAGATGGTTGTGTTTTAATGAACAAAATGAGATAATGTAATTGCACATTGATTTTCATTGTCACCCAAAGGGCGAGATTTCACGTTGGTAGATGGTAAAATTATCCATTTATTTTATTCACAGGTTGTACTCAGACTATCTCTACTTTGCAAGTTCAAATAAATCCGCAGATGACTTCCATGAAAAAGTGACAGAAGCTCTGCAGCTGTTTGAAAATTGCATGCTCGATTATTCGCTGCGCGCCTGCGTCTACAACAACACCCTCAACAATGCCATGCCTGTACGTATTCACTGAGCACCCTGCACAGAGCAGGCCGCTTTGTGGTTATGCGAGGGGTGTTGTGGCCCTGGGTTTAGCACAGAAGCACATTTATTGTGCAAATGCCACTCAGCTGCCTTTGAGAGGTGGCTAATGGGAAAACAAATCAATGGACATAAAAGCTGGGAATATGGATGGGCCCTTTCAGCAGGCTTCTTGCTTTCCTCCCTGCTGATCAGCCAGTCATAGCACTGTCCCCTCCTTCTGTGAAAGAAACAGGGTGCGTTTAGGAAGATTACCATTTAGTGAGGCTGCTAAAACACACCCAGCGATTAGAGTCGCAGACAGGGCACCTAGCTCTCAAACTGTATTAAGAACATCTTTGTAGTGTGGACTGTTCTGTTTTAAAAATTACCTGCCAGTAACTTTGAATGATTCTTCGACAGGGTCTCAATTGAAAAATCCTTCCCATTGTTCCCACGAACCATTTTCTTGCTTTCCTTTAAGGAATATATCTGTATATTTCCAGCCTTCCTTATGCAAGAAAATGTTGGTGGTGATTTTGTACCATTTGGCTGAGGATGGTTTTCCAGCCTGGCTCTGGGTGGTCCTGAGTGCTCCTCAGTGGGGTTTGTGCTGCAGGTAGCCAAGGCTGCCACCTGGCCCACAGTAGGGTTTACCAGCCTTGCTGTACCCAGTGGGCAAGGCATGAGCCACTGTGGTAGAGGCTAGGACATCCTAGGTCAGTGGTGCTCAAGGCTGAAGCTTTACTCCCTCTGCCTCATTATTCAGGACAATGTCTCTGAAGGCAGCACACAGAGGCAGTAGGTAGGATTCCAGGCTGCCTTGCTGGTGGACTTTGCAATTCACCAAAAAGATGCAATGTGGATAAGGTAACCACAGCACCAGGCCTTCTGAAGGAGTGGCTTTCGGAGTCAACAGTAATGTGGTTTCAGGTCCCAGCTCTCACATTTACTAGCTGTGTGACTCCAGGAAGCTGTCTTAGCTTCTGTGAGACTCAACTGCTTCACCATAAAATGGGGTAGTAGTATTGCTTTACTAGGCTATTGCAAGGATTAGAGATTGGTGGTTCTTTCACACAGTCCTGCATTCGTCCTTTCCTCTATGTTCCTTGCATGGTGCTAGGCCATGGAGTTGTACTCTGGATGCTCTGGCCCTCCTACAGAAACCATTGAGGATAGAGCAGTGGGTAAAGGCTGCTTAGGAGAGGGAATGTCTGTGCAGAGACCTCAAGCATAAGCTGACCAAGGTGACAGAGCACCCTATGCAAAGGCCAGAGAGAGGCACTGCAAGCATTTAGTGGAGCAGAGCACAGCCAGGGGAGGGGAGGAAGGTAGCCCAGGGGTGGGTGCATGGGCTCCAGGAACTTGGTGAGTCTCAGATGTCTGGATGGGGCCAGGAAACAAGAGAGGGTTTTCAGTGGCAGATACGTAGTGTATGAGCATAGGGAAATGTCCTCTCTGTCCTCTGAAGGTTTGCTGGAGTGATCTGCTTATAGGCAGATTAAAGAAGAGGAAAGATGTACACATATATTAACACCTAAAATGTGAAATAATCATAGCACAGGAGACAGTCATGAGTGTGGTCACCCACTAGGCCAGAGTGACTCAGAGACTTACAGACCCTTTCTCCATAGGGGAACGTGAGAAAGGGAATGTCAGGGGAGAAGTATGTGATTTTTAAGGGAGCTCCATGGGCTTCAAGAACATCAAATAACGTGGAGGAAGTGCATTCAGCCCACGGAACAAACATGGTTTGTAAAGTATTCTCTGCGGGACCAAAATAGAGAACAATGGTGTGTGATAGTCTGTCCAGGTGTGTTGACAGACTTCAGCCTTTTTCCTGTGCTGAGTTTGGTCTTCTCTCTCAGTGACATTTCAGCAAAAAATTAGGGAATTGTGCTCCTCTTCTGGCTGACTAGGGTGGGGAAATGAGGGGACTTTTCAGAAAGCCTCTCCATGTGCTGGGAGGGGGCAGGGAAGGTTGGAGCAACCTAGGTATCGAGGGAGGTTTCTGAGACCTCTTGGCATGTCAAGGTGCCAGGTTTTGGGGTATCATTTTCTGAGCCTACCAAATAGTGTAGCTGTTGGAATATCTTTTTCACCCATTGCTAGGTTCATGGCTGAAATCCCCATAACAAAAGAGAGATCAACAAGAGAAAATCTAACACATTTATTTAAAAGAAGTTTTACTTGACACAGCAGACTTAATAAAGAAATAAAGACCTGAAGCAACAGCTGGGTGTTTTGATGCTTAGTTTTAATGAGCGTGGACCGGCATACAGAGGGTGATTAGACCAAGGCAGTGTGAGCTAGGGGAAGCAAAAGGGGAACTCAGCAAGGCCTGTTTGCTCAGAACCTCCTGTGCTCCCTGTGTCTTCAGGGATGAGAACAGCCTTTCCCTCAGGTATGGGGAGGGTGCTCCTACCTCCATCAGGCAAGGCCAGGGTTCCTGGCCAGCATCAGGGGAGCAGGTTTAGGAGGGGAGTGTGGCCTTCCTGCCCCTGTGGGTGTCACAGTTGCCAAGGTGCTGTGTTGAGGAGCGCGCACCCTGGACTTCTCTGTAGTTACAGCAGTTCTGCCTGGTGCAGAGAGCAGCTCACTTGAGTTAGCGTGGGGATGGCGGTGGCTCCCAGGGGCTGCGGTACAAGAACTGGTGGCTGAGTCAGCGTAGTGGCAGAAGGTAGCTGCACAGAGGAGGCTTCTGGAAATTATGGGGAGAAAGAAGGAAAGGACTTCTGATTGGATGAAGGGGGAAACCAAATCTAGCATGCCCAGTGCAGCGTTTGGCCTATAACAGCCCTATTGCTGGCTGTTATTGTTTAAGCCTGTAACTGAAAGTCACCCAGGCAGGGACACAGGAGGGAAGAGTGTGTCCAGGAGAGAAACAATAGGTGTGTTGTGAGATGGGGACTAGCCTCATCACAATGGAGACTTGTTTCCATCAGCGTCCACTGGGCGTCCACTTGGTGCTCAGCACCCTCATCAGTGCTGGAAGAAATCACAGTCCCAACTGAGGGCTCCGGCCCCAGTGCTTCTCTCCTCCTCCTGGGCCCCTGTCACCCAAGCTTGGAAACCACTGCTGAGGGCCCACCATGGGGCCTGGTATAGCCTCCTGCCCACCTCTTACTTCTAAGCTTAACTGATTGTGTACTCACTGGGCTCAAGCCCTGGGTCAGGAAGGGGATGTGCTGGGCAAGCCACACAAAAGGACAGTTCCCCAGGACTCCTGTTTCCCCTGTGAGGGTGGCCACAGAGCCACTCAGAGTCAGAGTGTCACTCCAGCATCCACAGAGGTTCGTAGCTCTGAGGTCACATTGTTGGCTGAAGCTCTTATTTTTGTCAACTGGCATTTGTAAGTGGGAGGCAAAAAACGCTAGGAAAGTCCTGAGCACTACTAAATTGCGTGCCTTGAAATCCTTCTGGCTTAATTTTTTAGGAAAATCCAGGAGGAAGCAAAGCAGAGCTGTGCCCTCCTAGGGGCTTCATTCGGGGAAGGCAGAGCATGGTAAAAGGCCTCTAGGCGGTCTGAGGTGGCACTGCAGCCCCGGCTGGCCAGGTGATCCTGTTTGCCTGGCTGTCCTCTTCCCAGGTGTCTCCTTGATGGAGTCCACTGAGAGTACTGAATGAGCAAGAGTGGCTGGGAATTGATGGATTCAGCCAATGTAGAGTGCACACCAGCCTGGCACTTTGATGTAGGCCCTCCCATGCCTGGGTCTTCCTGAGTACAGTTGGGTAAACTGACTGGCTCAGACAGACTGCCTTCTGGAGTCACCTACCCACTCAGTGGACTGGACCTTGTGACCCAGCATCCTCCGGGACTTCAGTGTGTTCCCAGCAGTGCAGTCTTTAGTAGGTACCTCTGCATACCCTCTGTGTGGCATGGCCTGGGAATTGAGAAAGCAGGCACAGGGTGGGCTGTGTCTGGGGAGAGGGGTTATGTGTACCTAGAGCAAGGCATGTGCCCCCACCTTTTGCTCCTCCCCCACCTGGCCTTCTGAACCTTCTGTGTGTGATCCTGTGGGATTCAACACCAGCTGGTGGGTTGGTGGGAAGACAGGGAAATGGAAGGCAGGATTGGGTGAGCATCACGGTTAGCAGATGAGCACATTGAGAGGTGCACTATCTGCCTAGTGTGGCTTCCAGGAGGGTCTGGAACTGTCTCTTCTAGGCCCTGTTGCCACCAAGTCCTGAAATATGCTTTGGCAGAGAGGGACAGGTTCAGACAGGCAACAGGGGCCTCCTAAGAGGAAGCTGCCCAAGCTGGTGGTTGGCAGGGCTAGGAAGGGAGCAGAGTTCCGGATCCTGGCACAGTATGCTGATAGCTGTGACTTGTGCTGCTGTTTGTGAAAGAGTGAATCCCTGATATAAGTATGGGTCTGTATGACGCCTGGCGCTTTAGACCACAGGGAGGGGAGTAGGCAACACCTTGTGCACCTTCTCTTGTGGCAGGCAGTGCCTGGAGCTGAGGAGGCTAGAGGTGCATCTATGTGTCTCTAAATAGGTTTCCTGGAAGCAGGATTTCTGCAGCCATTTCCTCCTATCAAAAAGAGGGATGTGCCCCTTCTCTCCTGCTTCCAGTCCACGCTCCAGCTATGAATGTGGGAACACTACTGAGACTGGGTCATAAGTTCTTGAGTGCCACCTGATTTACTCCATTTCCAGGCATGCCTGAAAGAAACATCTTGATTTTCTTTAAAAGGGGATTTTTAAAAACTCCACTGGTGCAAGAGTGGAAGGAAACTGACTCTTGTTTAGCAATGCTGAGCAACACCCTCATTGCCTTCAGCTCTCATAGACCCCTACTCAGTGATAGTGAGTTTTTTAAGAGACCAAGTGCCCAAACTGCAATCCAAAACCCAGTTACTTATTTCAGAGTGCCAACACTGCAGTTAAACCTGAATACTGACTGGCCAAGTGAATGCTTGGAGGAATTGTGGCTAATGAGTCGTGTCTTGTGACATCATTGCCGGCTGCCACTATTCTTTTCCAAGTATGCACATGGCCCTCAGTGCGCTGTTGCCTGATGCTTGGCTGCTGGGGCAATGCAGGGGCGACTTGGGTCTTGTGCTGACAGAGTCGGCTCTGTGTACCTGCTGTGGCACGTGTGCCATAAGTTTGCCACCACTACCCTAACTCATCCTTCTTTTACAGATGGAGACACTGAGGCTCACAGAGATGCTCCTGCTGGAGCTCAAGGCCCAGGTGCAGAGGCCTTAGAAACTCACTGCGTTACCGCCTTCCCTCTTACATCGTAAAAGCAAAGTGTAGAGCCAGCAGGAAGCATGTGCTTTTAAATTTAATTTCTATTTTGCTGATGATGACAGGACAGTAGTTGAGCAGGCTCCTCCGGTCCAGAGGAGATGTCCAGTGCAGGAGAATGGACAGAACAGAGCTGGTTAGATATGGCCAGAAGAAGTCATTTGCCGTTAATATTCCCTTCTCAGGAGGAGCCTGGCACAGCCTTCCCTCTTGCCGTGCCTAGCAGGTCTTGTAAGACCTGGTCCTTCAGAATGAACTCATCAGAAATGCAAACTCTCTGTCCCTCCCCTGAATCAGGAACCTAGCAACTGGGGCCACCCATCTGTCTCACAGGCCTGCAGTGGGTGTGCTGTGCCCTCTGGTTTGGGAACCACCTTGGTTCTGGAGCCTTTTCATCATTTCTTCTCTGCCCTATGCTGTGCCTTTTCTGCTTGATGAAGGACTTCCATCTCTCGGGTCATCCTTTAATCTCATCTTCTGTTTTCTTTAGCCACCTGATTCATTTTCTCCAAGCTTGTGCCACAGCTAGTGATTATAGATGTTTGTTTCGTTACTGTTTAGCTGAGTCTCGACCACTAGATCACAGGATTTGTGATGCTAGGGCCGAGTCTATAAGGAGTAGTATATCTCCATTGCTTAGCTTGGTACGAAGAACTGGGGTGAGTTAGGGTAGTGGTGGCAAATACTCACAGTATTTGCTGAATGCATAAATGAAGTAGAGGGAGTTTGGGAGACTGGTGGGGAGTTCAAATTGAAATCCCTAGTAGGGGACAGAGAGACTCAGTGTGGGGCCAGTCTGGGGTGAAGCTGGGCCTGCTCCAGGATCAGCTCAGCATTGGCTCCCTGGCGGTGCTCCTTGTGCTCCCATGTGGTGGTGTCTGGACTCCCCTGCACTGCTCCCTGGGCTGCTCTGAGAGGCTCTTGGGGCTCCTGCTAAGTTCTCCCTTGGCTCCTCAGTTTCTCCCTCGGTGCTGTCTTCCTCAGGACTCGCCTGGGGTGGCAGAAGCACCATGTGCTTGAGCCTCTGGCGTTGACTACTGCCCCCAAGCCAGCCTGTCCACTGTGAGTCCCTGTTCTATCAGCAAGTCAGCTGACACCCATAACTTCAAAGGCTTCTGTTAGCGCTGCATTTTCTTTTTTGCCGGGGGTGGGGGGGGGTGGGGTGAGACAAGGTCTTTCTGTGTGGCATCCAGGAAGCGGATCTCTTCCCTGCCTATAAGGAAAGCCCTGCTGCAGGTCTTTGTAGCGGAGAAGGGGTGGGGATGTGTGGAAGATGGGCATAAACAAGGTTTCTGAGAATGTTTTGTCATCATACCAGGTACAGGGATAAGCTATACCTGCTCTAAACACCTGCATCCTGCCACAAACATCTGGCTTCTTTCCTCCCAGAAGGCTCTCAAGTCACAAAGGCAGGCTCTCTGAATGAGATAAACCTGTTCATACTGGTCTTCTCTGAAGCTGGGGCGGGGGCAGGGGCACTGGCTGGCTTGTGAGCTGGCTGGGGAAAGAGAACTGCAAAGCCGTGCGAGGCCGGTGATTTAACAACGTGATGTTCTCTTACCCATTCTTCTGTGTTGAAGGCAACACATATATTTGTTTCTGAAACTGGCATGTACTAATTTTCTCTGTAGCTTCAGCCCAGCTTGAGGTCTTTTTTTATGAGCTGGTGTGTAAGGTAGGGAAAAAGTGTGGGTTGGAGGCAGCTACTGAATTTTGGAGATAACTTATCTATTCCGTCTAATTGTTTTTCCTCCTCTCCATCTTCCTACATCATTAGAAAAATGATGAAATGGAAGAAACAGTGAGAGAGGAAGCTAGTTAGTGTCTGCACATATTTTGCCAAATGTTTCATCATCATATTGTTAATACCTTGCTGAACAATCCCACCAAAAACCAGACTGAGCACCGGCAGAGGGCCGGTGCAGGATGGCTTGTTAACAGAGCCAAGGTCCTTTCTCTGAGGGAGCTCAGTGTCAAACTGGGCGGGAAGGAGGGACTACAGAGCTTTGCCTCAAGAAATGGGAGCCCCACGAGGCATGGTGGCACTCGCCTATAATCCCAGCACTCAGGAGGCTGAGGCAGGAGGATCGTTGCGAGTTTGAGACCAGCCTGGGCTACAAAGTGAGCTCAAGGGCAGCCTGAACTGCATAGCAAGACCTTGTCTCAAAAAGACAAAACAAAAACAAAAACACAAAGAAATGGGAGCCCCAAGGAGGAGGACGGGACCGGCAGGCACTCTACCTGGAAGGGATGAGCTAGAAGTTCAACCGCACCAAGGGCTTTCTGCATGAGGAGCCATGAAGTCTGAGCAGGCGCTGGCCACAGCCCACTCTGCCTTGCAAAGCACCTGGTGGCAGGACGAGGGATGGGAGTGTCGGGACAGGAGGTGGGATGTCTAGTTGGGAGCCGTGTCAGTGTCCAGGCAGCTGCTGATGGTCTTGGACAAAGAGGAGAGTGAGCAGGGAGATGGGGAGTGAGATTGCTCTCACTGCCCTCACTTTTGACACCAGCTGGATGTTCTGGAGGGGACCCCCAGCTGGTGTGTAAGGTAGGGAAAAAGTGTGGGTTGGAGGCAGCACCCTCAAAGTTCAGTAATGTTCTAGAAGGGCTCACAGCACACACTGAAGGCTGCTGTCCCCATGGTTGTGATCCATTCCAGGGGAAGGATACAGATTGAAATTAACCAAGGGAAGAAGCATGTGGGGCAGAGTTGGGGGGTTGGGTTGGGATGACGATGGGTTCTGGGTGCAGAGCTGCTGCTCCTTTCTTTCCTGGAGTTCTGGGTGGTGCAGGCACCTCCCAGCTGTGATGAACATGTGACCACACTCATGGAACGTTTCCAGCCCAAGTCTTAGTGCTCAGAGTTCTTTTCAGGGCTCAGTCACATATTGGTTCGTGGCTTAGCGTTAGTCTTCAGTTCCTCCAGAGGTCAGAACCAACACCCACCATGTGGCCAGGTCCCCTGGTCCTGAGTGACGGTATTAGCTTGTCCGTGGCCAAAGCCTTAGGCTAACTACAACACTGCTGTAGGAAGGCACATTCCAGGGAGCTAGAGGTCACCTCCCAGGAGCCAAGGACAAAGGTCAGACCTCTCTTCAGAAGTTAATTCTTCATGGTGCCTTTTGCAGTTTGATACAAGAAAAGAACAGAATTAGGAGGACCCAGGCAATGAATATATAGAAAGGAGAAAGGATTTGCACCTATTTGATTAATTCCATGCTAATTATATTCAGATATATATATATATATATATATATATATATATATATATATATATATACCTTCCTGTTACTGCACCTGGTAAGAAGCGAATGCAACCCTAAGTCAGGGTATTCTTTGCTCTCATAGCACAAAGCTCCTCATGAAGTTACATGAACATGTTGTGTTAAAGTGCAACTTCTGAAGGTGACTGTTAATTAGGATGTCTCTCCTGTGTTGGTTTACAGTGAAATGCCATAGTACTTTTGGAAAAGTGCCTCCTGAAATAATGTCCTCCTCCTCTCTCCTAGGTGAGGCTCCAGGTTGGGCTGTATGCTGTGTACCTTCTGGACTGGCTCACTGTTTTTAACAAGGAACAGTTTCTCATTCTGCGCCTGGAAGACCATGCATCTAATGTCAAGTACACTATGCACAGGGTCTTCCAGTTCCTGAACCTGGGTATGTGTTATGCTTCAGACCGAGGGAGCACAGTGTGAGCCCAGGGACACTGGCTCTGTAGGAGGGTGTTTGGTCCACTATAGACGTGGCGAGCTGGGCAGAGAGGGCTGCCAGTTCAGTACTGTTTATCAAGTAGTAGCTGCATGTGGGTCATGGTATACAAATGGTGCAGTGAAGGATTCTCCAGGGCAAAGGAGTCACTCTCCTCTCCAGAAGCTTGCAGGCTAGTAGAGGAAGGGGGCGGGTGCAGTTTAGTATACTGAGTAACTAGTTGCCTGCTATCTGTACTGAGAACCCCAGTAGTCTTAGGATTATAGAGTCTTCATGGAAGAAAAGGGAGCTTTGAAGGAGTGACCATGACAGTGGGTGACTGGAACAGTGCTGTAGGAGGCACGAGATACGGAGGAAGGAACAGGCCATGGCATCATCGCTGGTGCTGCTGGGGGAATCTCTAGAGTCAGGGCTGCATGGCTGGGATTTGGCTGCTGGGCATGGCTCTGGGAGGAGCAACCTACCCTTAGACCAAGGATGCTGGCCAGGAGTTCTGAGCGACACTGTGCCAACTGGCCATGATGCTAGTTATGGCAGCGGCTAACAGAGGCATATGCAAAGGTGGGGAGTGTTACCTGTGGTCACCAAGCACATCTGGAAAGGCTGAGGCAGGGTCCGAACAAATCATGTTTCTTCCCAGAACACTTCCTGTGACCCTCTCTAATGATCTAGCCTGGGAATTTATTGAATATTTCCTAAACTATTCCTGCCTACCACTAGGACTCAGGACCCTTAAGTCATTTTATTTTCTTTCCCCTTTTCTTGGAGTGCTGTGAATGTGTTGAAATGTGGTCAGTTTTTTCTTTGATATGGTCACCTGTGGTCTCTGTCACATCAATGATCATGTCTTATGTCTATAAGAAGGGCAGTAAGGCCAGTTTTCTATCTTGTGTAACCCTAGGATGCTAGAATATGCTAAGGACTTTGGCGAGATCCTGATAGCCAGGGCTTAAGAGGCCTGAGCAGTGACTGAGGTAGGTGGGTTAAGCCTGTGAACAGCTTGTGGTTAAGGGGCGAAGGAGTGGAGTGGCAGCCCCTGCTGGCTTATCCCAGGGCCTGTCATTCCTGATGCACATCCATAGGTGGGTTTCTGGACACACATAACCCATCCCTACTACGGCCTCTTCACAGCAGTACACATAGGGCCCAGGCACAGCGCCTTTTGCATTCAGAGGCTGAAGTGGAAATGACTGGGGCAGAATTCCAGCAGGCTGGTTAGAAGGAAAAACTAAGCCCCTGGACTGTGCCCGGCAGGTCACACAGTTATCCAAGACAGGCAGAGAGCCGTGGAGAGCAGCCCATTAAGGGCAACTGGGTATAAATCCCGGAGGCGTGCCTTAGGTGAGTGTGGTGTATCTTAAAATACCAGCCAGGTTCCCTTGAAGGTGGGTGTTAGACACCAGGCTGCAAGATTTCTTTGCAATTTCGTAGTGGTAGTTCCACTTTCTCCCTCATCTCCAAATGGATCTCGCCAAAGAATTTGAATCCCCAAACATACTCTTCTTAAAGGAACGTCCTGTCTCAGCATGAAGCATAACTGGGATGTTTTGCAAAATTCTGCCATACTTTCAGCTTTGTAAGATTCTTTCCCTTCCCTTCCAGGGCCCCTAAGTGAGAAACAAGAGGCCTTGATGACCAAGAGCCCTGCATCCAATGCGAGGCGTCCTGAGGATCGGAACCTGGGGCCCATGTGGCCGGTCACGAAGAAGATTCTGCAGGACTTCTATGGGCCTTTCAATGCCAGGCTGGCACAGGTTCTTGCTGATGAAGCATTTGCATGGAAGACACCGTGAGGGCTGAGTGCTTTAGGCCCTGGGCCCGCCGACTCTGTCATTGCCATGACTCTCGCAATCTCTGTGCGTAGGGAACCGCTTTACTCACAGCGTGGAGAAAACCCTGGAGATTCCAGTCGTCTCTTTCTCCCCAGGCACCTGTTAATTATCTCCATTGCAGAACTTCCTTTCTGATGTACTCTAGCTCAGAGACCCCTCGCAGAGTTCTTCTACCTGAGGCCATTGGAAGCTACACTTTGGCAGGAATTCAGCTCTGCTCGAAGAGTGCTTGGAGCTGTGGAGAGGAGGCCACAGGAGGTCACAGCCGAGCTCTGCCTGCCCACCTTCTGGAGTCCCAGTCTGGGGCTTGACAATTCTGGGATCTGATCAAGCAGCTAGAGGTCATGGCCCGGGGTTGCCGGAACTTAAACTTCACATTCACTTTCCAGTTCTTTGTTCGATCACAGCCTCATCTGTGCAGAGAACCCAGCCTCTGTGGAGAACGCAGGCTCTTTCATTTTCATTTTTCACTCCCAAGTCAGCCCCTCGGTAACACTAAAAATAAACCCTGTTTGGTCACTTCCCTGCTTCCAAAAGGAAAACATCAGTTCGGCAGCACATTGCTCTGTCTGACCTCCCTCTCTGTCCTCATAGATTTTATTTATGTTTAACATAGAAAACGGATACATTTAAAACAAACAGCTTCCTGCGTTTGACTAGCCCTAACTATCTTTTCTGCTTCTCTAGATGTTTTCTCAAGAAATTCAGTTTATATTTGGAGGGGAAATTTTTGCTGTCAGTGCTAGAATAGAGCACCCTCAAGGAATTGAACACTTCACAGACGGTCTTGGTAACTGAAACCCTCATCATGCATACAGGATCACGCGCAAACTGAGGGTGTTTGATTTTTTATTCTGGCCGGCCACACGTTCCATCCCTTCACCTTCCCAGTGGGGGGAGTTTATTATCCACGTTCTCCACCAAGTGTGGTCGGAATTCCTCACTCAAGGAACTGTGAGATTTTGGTGTCCTAAATCAGAAACACAATGCACAAGCTAAACTTGGACTGAATGTGGAATGCTAGGTTGTAGCGTGCAATTGCTAAGAGCCATGATCATAGTGGAACTTTCCAGACCTCTTGGCAATGTAATTTATGGTGGAGGTGCTGAAGGCCTTGTCATTTCTTGGAAGTCATGAGGAAGACTGGAGAGAATGCTTGAGCCCTTCTGGCGGACAGCCCCGGGACTGGAGGATAATGAAGCATTGCACTGAGTGTTGTTGAGGGAAGGAAGCTTCCTGTAAACTGATGTTCCCAGACCTGGTCCTACAAAGTCAGAAAGTGTGAACACTGAATACCTAGCTGTAACTTGCGCGTGTGAGTCAGGCTGGGCTCCGGTGGTGTGAGGACCTGCAGTTGCTCCGCTGTCCAGTCCTACTGCTGTCGTCTTTCTGTCGTCAGAGGCAGGAGCTCAGCCCATTGGTAGGTGCACACAGAACTCTCAGCACTGGAGTGCCTGGGCCTGGCTCTGCTCCTGAAGGCGCTGTGTTTCTTGAACACCCACGTACAAGGACAGTCCCCGCCTTTCACTCGTAGCTGGCATTCAGAGTGGCAGCCAGTGGGAAAATCTGGCCTGAGCACAAGGATGCTTTAGGGAGATATCACTTCAGTGTGTGTGTGTGTGTGTGTGTGTGTGTGGTGTGTATTTATTTGGAACAGAGCGTGTGCGTGTGGGTGTGGGTGTGTTTTCTGAGTGGACTCCCCTCAGTTCTGTTGCTGATGAGGCTCCTCTGCTCTGAACAGGTTGCCTTTATAGATTAATGTCTCTGCCAATTAACTTGTCATTTCCAGTATATATTTTACTACTCCACACCGACCATGATTACGAGGGATTTTCCTTATGCACTCCTATGCATGTGAATAACATGTAGTGTAATCTGCTTCTTACAGAAGTACTACTGAAGGTATTATTTCCAATATTATTTGGTTCATTACCGATCTCTTTTATATACACAAGCCCACCCTTTCTGTGCCCCCCCCAGTGCCATCAGATGTGGTTTTCTCTCCAGGGGCCTCTCCAGAGGCCACATCTGTTGCCTTTGTTTTCTCTGTGTTGAGGCCCTGCACTCGTTGATAGCACAGGTACCATTTCAGGCGGTGGCTTTCTAGCCAGTCACCCCAAACCAAAGCGAGATGGAGCGTTTCTCACAACCTGGTATTGGAGTTACTTTGTGTTCCCAAAAGCTGTGTACGGATTGTATGAAACTGTACTCCCTTAGTCCTGTAAGGTATGTTATGTGAATCACTGTTATGCTGTACTTTTAGTAATATTTAACATAATTAAAGATGGACCCAAGCAACTGGTGCCTGAAGAGTGTGTGCCCCCTCCATCCCGAGCAGCCTGTCAATTTCATCCACATGTCAGATGTGCAGGGACCTGGTGGGGGCCGGTCAGCACCTCACCCACATGAGCCAAACACTCCCTGTATATGAGGGGACTTAGTGCAGAGGGCAGCCAGTGAGAGATGGGTGTGATCCTGCCCATAACAGCAGAAGGAAACTCAAGCACGGAGACAAGCGTTGAGATGTTTTGGGGACTTCCTGCAAGGGTCCAGTGGAAGGTGTGAGTTGGAGTGGTGGTCTGGTCCAGCCACCGTGGGCGTCCATTGTTTTTAGATGTTGGAGTTTGCAGGTTAGGTGACCTTACTCCTGCAGCTTGTATGACTTCCATGGGCTGAGAACTGAGATCCTTGGTGTCTCTAGGTGCACGTCATTGTTACTAGACTTCCAATAGCCTGCTGTGGCTCAATGTGGGTAGGGTACCAACTACCATGGACTAGGTAGCTTAGACAACAGACCTTGGTTGTGTCAGTTCTGAGGTTGGAAATCTAAGACCAGGGTGCCAGCAGGTTGTTTTCTCCATGGCTGGCTGATGACCACCCTCCTACTTCCTCTTCCTGTGGTCCTTCCTCTGTACATGCCCTCTACTTCTCAGAAAGACACCAATCAGATTAGACAAGAGACCACCTCAGTGACTTCATATAACTTGATCACTTCTCTAAAAATATTGTCTCCAAATATAGTCACATTCTGAGGTACCGGAGGCTGGAAGGGGGATGCAGTTCAGAGGTTGTCTCACATTGGGCTTAGAAAACCTGGGCCATCCTGGGCATAACATGGACCCCGGCTAGTCCCCCATTTCTAGGAAGCTGTCCCTGGGAGAGCTCATCTTCCTAGTGCTGCCCTCAACATGATGTGTTGGGGTGGGGGGTGCTGGTGTTCAGGCTGGAGAAAGACGAGGTGCCATCCCTTCAGCACAGACCAGGAACAGCTTTGCTCAGCAGTGGTATGCCTGCTGGGGGGCGAGGAAGATGGGAATTGGGAACAGGACAGGCAGGGTAGTGCTCTGAAGACTTCTTTTCCCTGGACCTCTCCCCAACACCTGTCTGCCATGTGGCCACCCACTCCCCTCAAGAACCAGCTCAGGAAAGCTTCTGACGAGGCTCATGTACCTCCTCCAAATGCTCCTATCTGGGACTGGAGGCAAAAACCACAGGCCTCGTCAAGGGGAAGAGAAGTGCCGTGCAGGTTGGTGACCCCTCATCCTGCGGCCCCACTTGGCCTCCAGGTAAGGTGGATCTCGTGGAGACTAGCAGGAAATCATTGCTTTGTCGATTTGGATTTTCCTAGAACTTCAGGGCCCTGGGGGCACCAGAGCAAATAGGATGTTGATCGAGGGTGGTGGGGGCTGTGACAGGAGGATAGCGAGGACCTGGATCTGGATGAGCTCCTCATGACTGCTGTAACAATTCCAGACGAAGTGGCTTGAAACATCACATACTTCTTACCTTAAAGCTCTGGAGTTCAGAAGTGCAAAATCTATCTCACCGGGCCAGAGTGAGGTGAGCAGGCCTGTGCTCCTTTCCCAGAGCTCAGGATCATCTGTCCTGGCTGTTCCCAGCTTCGGGAGGCCACCACATGCCTTTGCTGGTGGCTCCTTCCTTCGTTTTTGAAGGGTAGCATCTTCAGTGTCTTCCTGTCTCCCTCTGTTCCTTGGCCACATCAGCTCCTCTGATTCTAACCCTCCTGCCTCTTGGAGGACACTCTTCATTGCACTGGGCCCACAAATCCCTTTTGTCATGGAAGGGAACGCATATCCAGGTTCTTGGGGTTACACTGTGGTCATCTTTGGAGGTCACTATTCAGCTGACCATGGGAAGGTGGACTAGTGAACTGGTTGGCAAATGGGCTGGTGTGAGTACCAGTAGCCCACTCGTGTGCTCTCTGCTATGGGGCCCTGGCAGGGCTGAGTGGGCAGCAACTGCCCAGGAAGGGCTGAGCTATGGATGGCTGTCCTGCGATGAATGTCATCAGGAGCGGCTGAGCTAGTGATCCTTCACATGTGTGGAGCCCAAGCAGGAAGTGCCCAACAAATGCCCTGAGGGCATGGAGGGTGCCCCAGGCGAACAGGTGTTCCAGCCCCAAGAACACAGGTATAAGAGGCGAGCTAATTAAGTAAAGGGGTGTCACATAACAAATGTATAAATAAACGCATTGGGGTGGTTGAGCAGTTCCTTTCCTCCCACCCAGACAGAGGGCTCCACCTGACCTCAGCTTTCTGTCTCTTATCTTTATTTTTCCATCCTCTTGCCATCCTTCCCCAGGAACTTTGACAGCTGTGCTGGACCCGGCAGTCCTTTTGTCCTGAGATTGGAATTAGTGGGACAGGAGGTTAAATCACTGGCCTTTCTGCATGTGTTGCTCGCTAGGAAGATCACCAGTGAGTTAAGAGCCTGGATCCACCAGTGAGTTAAGACCCTGGTTTTAGCCAAGACAGGCTCTGCTCTCTGGTAGCAGTGATTTTTGCATGCTCATGGTTTTGCTTCTTTCTATGAAATCTCATCGTCAGCTCCCCAGCAGGCCTAACTGCAGCCACAAGGCCATTTGGAGTTTCTCAAGTCCAGCTGTTGTTGAGTTTGTTATAGAGAGAAGCTTGTGAAAGACACAAAACTGGAATATTTTCTAGTCTCCAAGAGAGGTGCAGGGCCCGTGACCTCTGTGGCTTTGTGACCTCCATGCCCCAGCCTCAGTACTTAGCAAGGCTGATATCTAACCTCACTGTCATTGTCTTCCTGATGGCCCCAGGCTGGCCATGCCTCCATGACCTCTGCCCCATTCCAGCAGTCTGGACCCAAGTCCTGACCCTGCCACCCTGGTCCACACCCCTACTCCTTCCCACTCCCTTCTTTGCAAAGTAGGTGTCAGCAGGAGGTTGGTGGGTCCCTGGGGCTGTAGGTTGCTGTCCTTGAGGAGCCCGAATGCTAACATGAGGGCAGAGACAGTGGATTCTCTTGGGCCACCACTGCAGGCCAGGGATGTGGGCTGGGCAGAGCAACTGTCCATCTCAATGATGACCTGCAAGTGGCAGGACCCAGAGACCCCAGGTCAGGCCTGCTGGTGGGTTCTTCGCCACTGGGCCTGTGGCAAAGGAGGAGGGTGTGTGTGTGTATATATATATCAGGGGGTCTACTTTGCTGAGCAGTAGGTGCTGGCTGTACTGTGGGTGCCTGGCTTGGTGTCTGGGGCATACAGAAGAATGTGAACAGAGCCTTCTGACCCACATTGGAAAGCCCTTCACTGGTGCAGCAACCTGGGGGAAGCTGTGCTGCCATGGGGCTCTGAGAGGCTTTCTAGGTGCACCCCCAGCTCTTTTCTCCCTGAAAGGCCCCCTGAGGGTCAGGCCTCAGTCAGATCTAGATGTGGACAGACCTCAAGGTAACATGGAGATGACAGCAGGGAACCTGAGCTCCCTGGGAAGCCCCTTCCTGGCAAAGCAGAGAAAGCGTGGATCCAGAGATTCAAGTGCGAAACTGCCAGCTGCTTCTCCCAGGCCTGCCCACTTCCCTGTCTTCAGCTTTTCTCTACCCAAAAGGACAGTCTGATTTTTGCCCACTGAACCCTGCACCCTTCTACCCACAAAGGATAAGATGGGGTTAGGATGAGCTCTGGGTCTCAGATGAGCTGGATTCAAGGCCTGGTGTCCTGGTAGAGGGTTGGGACAACCGTCCCATAGTCTTGGGGGCACCACTGTCTGTGTTTGCATTCACAAGTCTGTCATGCTCATGAGTGGGTATCAGAGCTGACAAGTATAAACTGAGGATCAGAGAGGCTGTATACCTGTCTGAGGTCACACAGCTCAGGACCTCAGGAAAAGAAAAGCAGGACATGAACTCAGATAGTCTTCTGTTAAACTTTGAAGTCAATGTTTTTAACCATGGCGCATACTGTCCCCCGCCCTAGTGCCTGTCCTCATTGCCTGCCTACATTCTGAGCATCTGGGCTCCCTCTCTTGCCTTTAGCTGAATTTCAAATGCTCTCAGTGAGGGACAGTGGCTTCTGGGGTCCTCTAGTGTGGGGCTTTCTGTGGGACTACCCATGCTGGGCTCTAGGTAGTAAGCAGAGTTTCCAGAGGAAGCGGGAAGTGTGACTGCCGAGACCCCAACAGGCAGCTTTCCTTCCAGCCAAGGGGCTAAGCCTCCCACATGAGCAGACTTCAGGGACTCGCTGTAGCCGAGGAATCCCCTCAGATCTGAGTCACCACAGTTGTGGACTACCCCGCCCTCTGGGCTCAGCCTCAAAGACACCAAGGTACACACAGGTGCTAGAAATTATACAAAGAACCA